CCTTCCTTCCTTCCTTCCTTCCTTCCTTCCTTCCTTCCTTCCTTCCTTCCTTCCTCCCTCCCTCTTCTAATGTTCAAAGCAAATGCTTCACAAACTATTTTCGGCATGTCAGTTTTCGGTTTGACTTTTATTGGTGGTTTAGACATCTAGTATCAGTAAGGCCTCACGATCAGTTCATGATCTGGGTCTTTTTTTTAAAACCTACCCTTTGGTAGCTCTTTTGCATGGCTCTGGGTATTTTGTTTGTTTCTATGGGCCTTGTAAATCTCTCGCTTGGCACATGCTTGGACTTCATCGTACGTTTAAAAATGCGGTACGGTCTCAGCCGTTGCGATCCCAGTCTAAGCCCTTTGCTCACGTGGGAACGTTTGAAGAATGCAGCAAAACTTTTACGGAAATTTAGCCCTCCACCCTGCTGCACACTTTAAAAAAACCCACCATAACCTGTTGTTTCCGTTGGCCAATATTTGTTGAGTAATAGCATGAGTTAAGTCAGGTTGAGAATAGATTAATTGAAATCTTTAAATTGGCAAGGGACTTTTTTGATTTCATCCTTCAGTTTGTGGATGACTAAATATGGAACCGAGGCGGTGCTAACAGCTTAGAGAGAGAGAGAGAGATGAATACAGAAAGCGTATTTTTTTTTTCAGACACTCTAATGTTTGTTCCAGTAGGATAGAATTTGCACTATAATTCAAACCAACTTGCAGAAACTTAAAATGCTAGCATGCATTTCTCGATTTGAGTCTGGCTAGGGCACTCTAATTGCCTTGTGCTTATATCTGCAGCATTTTTCTTTGGTTTGGTTTTTGTTTAAAAAAGAAAAATCAGACTTTTCTCTCTCCCTTTTTTTTTTTAAACAACATGCCTGGTTTTGTTCCTAAAAAACGCACCCTGCGTTTGGAAGTCGTGGTAAACCTTTTGCCTTCTTAGCGGTTAAAAAAAAATTAAATAAATCTAGGCAACGCTCGTCTGAAGTGTGACCCGAGTGGTAGGGCACATACACAACTGTTTTCTCTTAGCATCTCTGCTAAAGGGGATGGAAGCACAACTGTTTTACATTGGCCTAAACACTTGTTCCAAGTGCTGCTATTCTGTATGCATGTCGTGATGCTGTACATGATGCCACCTTTGATACCTATCCAGATATTGGTGCCAACTATCCATGTGATGACTTGAGATTTCTACTACATTCCTGGCCTGACCCTCTTTTATTATTTTTCCTCCCCCCTCCCCATGCTGAGAGTCTTTGAGGTGGGAAGGGGTGGNCCTCCCTCCCTCCCTCCCTCCCTCCCTCCCTCCCTCCCTTCCTTCCTTCCTTCCTTCCCTCCTTCCTTCCTTCCTTCCTTCCTTCCTTCCTTATGGGGCAGGGGGCGAACGGTTTGCAAAGTTCCACATTCAAATACTTCCACCGAGTTTCAGCTCAGTGTTGTTAGAGGCTTAAAATGTTTTATCGTACAGTGCCACCTCAGTACTCATCGTTAATTGGTTCTGGGATGCGTGATGAGTCCCCAAAACAATGAGTATCAAACACAATTTTCCCATTAGGAATAATATCGTGAGTCATAAAAGCAGCCGACACCGGCAAGTTCTAGCTTGAATAGCAGATAAAAAATGAGCCCTGGGAGGAAATGTTCACGTGTCAGAATGCTCTGAGTACCAAATTCGAAGAGTTTCAAAGCAGAATGAGGCCACTATACTTCGCACCGTGCTTTATACTGGCTGTTTTGGGGTCCCTTCCAGCTGTTATTCTGCTTTCCGCATTCTGATGTCTTTTTCACAACCGTTCTAATTTTGTGGCTTTTTTTTTTTCTTATTTTCCTTTTTTTTTTTCCCCAGCAGGAAACCAGGAATTATCCCGAATCGTATCCCCAACTGCCCAGGGATGAAACGGTGGAAAATCCGCACCTCCAAAAGCACATTTTGGAATTGGCTTCAATATTGGATGTCCGAAACGTATTTCTGGAGACCACCCTCGACGATTATTAAAGCAGAGAAATGCACATTCTGGAGACTGCAGGGGTTTTTTTAACCCTCGCTGCAAAATTCTTTTTTTTGAAATGGTGCAGTTTTCTAAACGCGAACATCCACACACACACACACACACACAAAAACAAAAAACAACAAAACAAAACCCAAGGAATTTGCTGGAGTTTTATTTTTGAACTCAACAGGTGTTATTTTTTTTTTCTTTAAAAAAAAAAAAAGGAAAATGGAAAAGGGGGGGCCGCGCAGCTGTTCCACTCTGCCTGGGTTCAATTTTGATAAACGGACCCTCCTTCGCAAGTTTTACAATTTCAGACTGAAGCAAACTGCTGGGTTTTGAAGCTTTTGATTTGGAAGACGTAGCTGGCCACACCACGACAACACACACATATGTGTACGCGCGCACACGCGCGCGCGCACACGCTCTCTCTCTCTCTCCCGAGATTGAAATGCAGCCAGTCACTTTTAAGCCCTTGTGTGCAAATTCTTTATTTTTGTACTATTTTTAAAAATTAGAAAGCAAAAAAAAAAAAAGGAAAAAAAAAAGAGGAGGAGGAGAAAAAAAAATCAGAAAAAAAACAATCTTCTGTTTCCCCAAAGATTTAAAATGTGAAGGGCGGGACTTTAAATGGTGCAAAGCAGACAGCAATAAGCGTGAATTGAAGTCAATCTCTGTTTCATCAATTCCCTCCCAAAAAGAATCCAGCACAGTTGAAGGGATGGTTGTGTAAAACTTAGAAAATGTAGCGCTGTCCATAAGTTTTTTTTTTTGAGACGTCAGCCTTTATTGCACATTGACTAAAGATGCTGGACTATGTCCCTCAAAATCTAGAATTTTGGCTCCTGGCCCATTATCACGTCAAAAGATTAGCTCTCTTATTATTATGGAGTACCCTCTGTGCAATTCTCCAGTTTGGGCTCAAGGTCAAACAAAGGCCGTCCCTTACTCTGCACACAACTGTTGTCAGTTCTTGCTGCAATATGGAAGATTCTCTGATGATCCTTCTTCCCAACCCTTCCACCTCAACTTCCAAAAGAGCTGCTTTCATCCCATTCCTACTTCGATGGGCAGGAGTTCACCGGGTGAAGGAAACAAAGAAGAATCACTGCCTTGCCTCTATGCTCAAGCTGCTCAAAAGACAAAACCCAACGAAAGGAAAGTTCATCATCTTCCACTGCCAGTGAGCAATGTCTACCTTCCAGGGCTGTTGATAGACAAAAGAGAAGGACCAAGAGGACTTGGGGGGGGGGG